TTCTGCTAGGTGGCAGTGCTTTATACAGATGGGCTTTGGGCCAAGAGCAGGGCCTGTAGGACTGGAGCAGGTCCCAGGCCTGCCTGTGGGCCCATTTCTATGGCTGAGGCTCCCCCTTTGGAGAGGTGGAATAGACTTGGACTGTGATCCATTCCTGCCCTTCCCCAAACCCACTTGCAATCTACCAGTCAAAAGTTACCCTTTCGGATTATTCTATTCTAAGATTAAAAATCTGTCTCCTAGACTGGGATGCTTGTGAGAGGGGCTCCCAGAGGGACCTGAAGGAGATGGCTGTCCCACTCCTCCATTTTGTGGTCATCTCTCTGGCTTTGAGGACCCCTGTCTCTTATAGGTTGACCTTTACCCTGACTGAATATTTGCTTCCTTCTTACCCACTTTGCCTTTAAGAAGTAGGCAATCTGATGCCCCTTGGGAGACTCAGAAGAGCGATAGCCAAAGTTTTGTTTTTTCCTTTCCTCTATCATGCCAATTTTGAGTGACCTGGGATGGCTGAATTTCTCTTGAACTATATAAGTATACTTCATATACTTGGTGTGAAGGGGCAAGGTGTTGAGTACATAGGACAGACTTGTTTTGCAGCTTGGCACTTTAAAAATTTTCCTTTGTAGTGCTAGTGAATCAGACCTGGGGAATCATACATGCTAGAGAGGCACTCTACCACTGAGCTACTCCCCAGGCCTTCAGAGATTGTTCGTTTTAAGAAAACAGTAAACTGTATATATTAGAGGTAGTCAGTGTGGCCTGGATCTCCAGTGGGGCAGCAGCAGTTTTGTTTGTTTTTTTTAAGAGAAAGAATAAAAAATAGTTTAAAAAAAAAAGAAAGAAATGATACATAATTTCATTAAACAAAATGATATTCAACAATGGTTATTTTTTAAAAATGTATTTGGTACAAGGTCTCACTATGCAACTTGAACTCATAGTGATCCTCCTGTTTTTAGCCTCCCCAGCGTTGGGATTACAGGGGTACATCACTTTGCCTGGTCTTAGTGTCCGGCTCAGCATGCCCGGGGGTGGGGCCAACGCATATGGCACCAGGGATTGAACTCCAGTCCCAGCGCTTGCCTAGGCAGGCACTTAGTCTGCTGGGCTATCTCGCCCACCCAACAATGGTTGTTATTTTGCATATTGTTGTCTTCAAAGTAGTTGTTCTGATTGCCAGATAAAAACATGCAAAATTGGTCAAAAAATTAAAAAGAAAAAAAAAATAACTTAAGCATTAAGTGTTCTCTTCAATATAATTGTACAGGGTTGTTTGTTTGTTTGTTTGTTTGTTTTTAAAGTTCAGAGCAGCTTTATGTCCAATAGCTCCAAACTGGAAATAGCCTGTGACTAGCAATTCTTTAGGAGTCTCTGTATGTGAATCTTGGACATGTCCCTTACAGACTTTGTCTTCATGTGTAGTGATTTTGTTAGTTAGCTTTTCATTGCTGGAACAAATCCCTACAGGTTAATGGATAAATGGTATTATTGGATTAGTGGTATTTATACACAATGGAGTATAAAGGATAAACTGAAGTCATTTGTGGGAAAATGGGTGGGACTTGAAACCATAATGCTAAGGGAAATAAATCAGACACACAAACTTAAGTTCACATGGTTTCTGCTATATGAGAAACCCCAAGTATACAGAGCAAAATGAAAGATAATAAGAAACAGGGAGAGAGATCTTTTGCAAAGGGGAAGGGAACCAAGAGACAGGGGAAGAGGAGAGAGAGGGGAGGAAAAGGTGATGTAGAAAGAATGAAAATGTGTTATGTGCATGACTGACTCCCCATGGTGAATGTAGTTGTTATGTACTGCACACATGTACTAATAAAAATGAAAATACGCACCCAAAATAATCAACTTAGAAAGAGCAGAGATTTATTTTGACTTGTAGTTTTGGAGGTTTCCATCTGGACCCTGTAATGAGGCAGCGCATCAGCACAGAGGCATGCAGTGGAGCAAAACAGCTCGGCTTCAGGGCCAGGAGGCCAAGGAGAGGAAGGGAGGAGGCTGGAATCCCACAGTTCCCTTCGAGCACAAACCCTGTGACTTCAAAGGCCCCACTAGGCCCACCTCTGAGCGGCTGTGCCACCTCCCATACCAGCTGCCAAGGACCAAACTTTACCATGTGGCCTTTGAGGAGCACTGAGATCAAAGATTCAAATAACAGTGGTGACAAGATTCTTTTGTCTTATCACCTGGGGTCCTTGTGGGTATCTGTGGGTCCCTTCGGTGTGCCTTTGAATTATATGATTCTGATGGGGCTTTGCAAGTTGAGGTTTCAGGACTAACACATTTATCTCTGGTAGCATTTTATGCTTATGCCTGGGATTTTTTATTTTGGTTTTTTTGTTGTTGTCGTTTTCTCTTCTAGGCTTTTGTAAATTGGAAAGAGGCTAAATTGACTTGGAGTTTTTTCAAACAGTCTTTCTTGAAACAAATATTGACAGAAGGTAAGTAAAAGGTCACTCTGATCAATCAGAAGATCATAGTAGACACAAAGGAATTTCACAGGACTGCTGGTGACCTGGATACCCCCACCCGTCTGACATTCTTGGCAAAGGACCCCACCCCTCATGTGTTAATTTTATTTTTAGATAGGAAAACCAACATTCATTTAGGTTTATGCTTTAAGTTGTCCAATATAAATCTCTCTGCAGCCTTATAAATAGTATTTTCATCCTTTATTCTGGATGAAGAAACTAAAAGTTTGTGAGGTTATAGAACTTCTTTAGGGGCCTACTATAGTAAGGAACAGTTTAATTAGAATCCAAGACTGTGTTAGCTTTCCTTTAATGAGACAAAATACCAGAGAGAATTAACTAGAAAGGATGAGAAGCTTATTTGGCTCATGATTCAGAGTCCATTGTTATTGACTCTGTTGCTTTGAAATTGGCAGCATGGCACTTCATGGTGGCTGGAAGCAAGGAGCGAGAGGAAGGGGTTAGAGTTCCATTGTCTCCTTTAAGGTGCTGTCCCCAAGGGCCTAGCTTTGGTTCTACCATGCCCTGGCTTCTGAAGGCTTTACTACCTCCAGTGGGGACCATGGGCTGGGACAAAGCCATCCACGCATGGGCTGGAGGAACTTCATGTTCAAACTACAGCGAATTCAGCTGGGCGTGATGGCACTCACCTGTAATCCCAGCACTCAGGGGGCTGAGGTGGGAGGATCATTGTGAGTTCAAGACTAGCCTGGGTTACAAAGTGAGCTCAAGGCCAGCCTGAACTGCACAGCAAAACCCTGTCTGGAGACTGGGCGTGGTGGTGGCGCCTGTAATCCCAGCACTTGGGAGGCTGTAAACAGGTGGATCACTATGAGTTCCATCTAGTAGTGAGACCCTGAACACCCTGTAGACCCTGCCCTAAAATATAAAACAAAACAAAACAAAAAAAAAAACCTGCCTCAAAAAGACCAAAAAGCAAAACAAAAAACAAACTATAGCAGATTCTGACTGCAAAACGTCATGTTTTATTACTTTAATAATTTTTAAAATCTATTATTTGTTACAGGGTCTCACTATACAAGCTCGGACTCGTAATGATCCTTCTGTCTCAGCCTCCCCAGCACTGGAATTATAGGTGTGCACCACCATTCCCAGTTTTAGCTGCCAACACAGCAGAGCCTACATGGCATGCAGTATGGGGGATCAAGCCTGGATCCTTGTACTTATCAGGCAGATACTTAGACTGTTGAGCTATCTCCCAAGCCCGACTTTATTTTTTTATTTTTATTTTATTTTTGGCAGAACTGGGGATTGAACTCAGGCCCTTGCGTTTGCCAGGCAAACGCTTATTCTACTGAGCCATCTCCTTGGCCCCCTCCGAGCCTGACTTTAATAAATTTATTATGAGAATATCAAATAATAGAAAATTAGAAAAATAAACCATGTAGTAATCTTATCCTGAATTTTATTCTTTTTTCAACTTTATTAAAGGCCAGGGATATGGATCAGTGGTATAAGTGCCTGCCTGGCAAGTACAAGGTCCTGAGTTCAATCCCCTGGGGGAAAAAAAAAATCCCAATCAGCTTTATTAAGAACAAGGAAAAAAAAAACAAAACTAGGTTTTGAGGGCCAGCGAGACAGCTCAGCAGGTGCCTGCTTCGGCAAGCACAGGGCTCAGGGTGATCCCTAGCGCTACCCCTGGGGCATGATGAGCTGGCTGCCAAGTCCGGGTGTGGTGGCGCATGCCTGTAATCCCAGCGCTGGGGAGGCTGAAAAGTAGGAGGATCACT